TACCTGCTGCTGGTCGGGGAAGGTGTCTGGATGATAGGGCTCTGGCAGAGCAGAGGGGTGGGAAGGAGGCATCTGCCCCTCCAGCAGGGGAAGGGGGAGGAGGGAGATGCATGGCTGGGATGGTGGCATGCCTGGTATCTGTGCTTCCAGGGATGGGGCAGCTGGGAGGAGTGTGGGGCATGGCACAGGAGCCCCAGCTCAGGGTGAGGGGTGCAACAGGCCTCCTCTCTTTTTCCCTCCAGGCTGTACAAATGTCAGACTTGCTCCATCACCACCTGCACAAGTTGGAATCGCTGCAGCTGCCACGCTCTAGTCTGGGCAGGATGGGGGCAGTGGTTCAGAAGTCAGGGGCACTGGCAGGGATGGGGGGAATGTGGGTTGGGAGTGTGGGGCACCAGCAGGACCAGGGAGCTGCATGTCAGGAGTAAGGGGCACCAGCAGCGATGGGGTGGTGAGGGACTGTGGGTCTGGAGTGAGAAGCACCGGCAGGGCCAGGTAGCTTTGGGTTGGAAGTCATGGGCATCAGCAGGGCCAGGAAGCTGTAGGTTGGAGTGCGGGGCACCAGTATGGCTCAGGGGAGAGGGAAGGGCAGGGGACTGTGGGTTGGGGGTGAGGGGCACTAGCAGGGCCACAGAATGGAAGTAAGGGGTACCAGCAGGGCTAAAGGGGTCTGTGGCTTGGGAGTGAGGGGCAATGTGGGCATGGGGCAGGGCACTGGCATATCAGGGCTGCTCAGCATCACAAAGCTACAGCTGGACCCGCATCCTGGTGAGTGAAGGGAGCAAGGGGAGCTCTTATTTTCCATAATAAAAACCCCCTAAAATCAAATGCCAAAATATATACGTATGTAGAATGTATTTTATTTAGTGTTCCACATTTGCAGTTTTTATTTTTTTTAAAAAGTTTGGGAAATTGTTCAGTGTTTATCATCCAAACATAAAAACTGGGTTGAAATTGGGATAAAATAAAGAAAAGAAAAACATTTGGTTTAAATTAGGGAACACAATACTATGTTACCACAGCAGTGAGAGAGGGAGGGACTGGAGTAAGGCTGGGACAGGTGAAGGGGCAGGGGGAAGAGCATGGCGCAGCCCATCAGCTGCTCCCAGGGCTGCTGCAGGGAGCAAAGCAGGGGGAGCTGTCAGTGGGTATGCTGCTACATGCCCCCAGGACGGCTGTGGAGCTGTGCCAGGCTTTTCCCAGTGGGTGCATGCCCCCAGATCTGCACAGGGGACAAGAGAAGGCTGCCACCTGCCCTGAGCGCCAAGAAAAGCCTGGTGCCACTGCTAGCCCCAGCCAGCAGCAGCAGCCTGCTCTTGTCCCGTACACAGATCCGGGGGCACCCCCACACCTCTGGGAAGAGCCTGGCGCAGCCCTCCAGCCCTGCTGGGCGGTACGTAGCAGCAAGAGCTGCGCCCCCTGCCCTGTACCTGTTAACAGCTCCCCCTACTTTGCTCCCTGCTGCAGCCCTGGGAGCAGCCAATGGGCTGCACCATGCCCTTGCTCCTTGCTGCAGCAGCCTGCTGTCAGCTTACCCTGGCGCTTCAGGGAAGGGGGGAGTGGCATGCGAGCAGACGCAAGCGGGGGGGAACCTGACCCCAGCACCTGCCCTGATCCCTCCCACCTGGGGTCAGAACTGGGAGCCCCGCACCCCCAGGAAGTGACTCCAGCCCCGTGGGCCTGTACGGAGTGGCTGGGTGCAGTGCCTGCTGCAGGGAGCAGGGCCAGGCTCTCCTGCCTGCCCCCTCCCCCCAACAGGGCTCGCAGCTCCAAGAGTGGGAGAGGCTGCAGCTGGAGCCCTGCATCCTCTCCCACTCCACCTGTCCCCAGAGCCTAGGGCAGGGCTGCAGCTATTCTTGCAGCCCCTCCCACTCCACGCAGGGTCAGAGCCAGGAACCCTGTGCCCCCAGGCAGTGGCTCCAGTCACTCCCCTTGCCCCCCACTCTGCATGTGGCTGCCGCCACCCACCCTCCCCCCAATTGGTTTTTACTGACTTACACTGAAAAACAGGTGTGTATCAGTTAAAGCTGAATAACTCCAATAAAAAAATCCAGTAATTTACCAGTGAAATTCAATAAAAACTGAAAATACGGAACATTAATTTAATTATAATTATTGAGGCACTGGTAGGCTTCCAAATTGCTTTAACATATCAATAAAACATTTTGTTGCATGTGTTTGTATTTTATATATGCACATACACACACGTGCATATACAGATGTACACATGTACATGTGCAGATGCACATAATCAGCATATACATATACACACACATGCGCACGCTTCTTTTTACTCACTGAAAACGCTGACTTGGGGTTTGTTTTTTTTATTTTTTTAATCAAATTTGGAATTTTTTTTAATCAGAACTTGCAATTTTTAAACAGAGAAAACCAGGTTCCTTGGTGATGAACCATATATATGAATGACTTTTCCTTCAAGGATTATTGTATATACTCCCTTATAAAAAAGTCACTAGTTATACATTAGAAAAATACCTACTAGCAATGAGCCCGCTGGTTGCAATATGGTTTGGAGGAACTTGGGAATGCTTTATGAAATCACAACTACCAATCACGTGATTACTCCCACTTGTTTCCTGAAAATTGTTGTTCTTTATTACCACTGTTCTCTAACCATCCTTTTGATACCTACAGATCAAGTTTAAAATTTTGAATACTTGAATACTTAAATTTTTTTGGCTATGGGCTAGAATTACCCACCCTGGTTTGCAAGTGAACAAGCAGGCACAAGAACCTTCTTATCACTACTGCTCGTCTTCCCAGCTGCAAGGGGAAAGTGCCCGTAGCTGGCACTTCTCCCCGTGGCAGACTGCAGTCAGAATTTGTCCTTGCAGTAACACTGGAAGAGTGCCTGCATAAGCAGCCCCTACTACTGCCACTGATGGACCAGATCCAAAAGTTCTACAGACTGAATCTGGGCCACAGGCTATAGGTTGCTGCCTCCTACCTTAGACTGATCGCCTTGAATATCACAGTACAAAGGAGGAAAAAAAATTCCGAAATGAAGACATACATTTTACTATTCAAATTCTTACTTGTTCAAACGCTTCCAAACTATCATCAGTTAGGTCAGATTTTTCTTCATTATCTTCATCTACTAAAATAGTTGAATCATGGGCATGTACATTAATTTCATTTGCTGGGTGACGTTCCACTTGAGGTTTCTTCTGAACATCACAGGAGGGAAAGAATAATCATTGTATCACTTAACTGTAGTAACACATATTCATACTAAATCCATATAAAATATGTTGCTTTTAAGACCTCCTAATTTAACATTAAACTATTTTGCTATCAAGCATTTTGGTCTCACATTGCTGTAAGACGCCAAAAGCAATTATTATAGTGGAATAATAGGATGGAATTTCTCTCATAGTCAGAGTCAATAACTATGCATACCTCAACAACTTAAATGAGTCTTAGGTGATAAAGACTAAATCCCTGGACAACTGTACCTGAAACTGCAATGAAAACAACCTCATAATTAAATACAGGCAGTCCTCAACTTTAGACATTTCGAGTTGCAATGAATGGCATTTACGACGTTTAAACTGACACCCTGTTTCGACTTTGACGTCAGTTTCAACTTTACAATGCTTGATCCGACACAATGCTATGCCACGCTGTGTCGCCCACCTCCCTGGAGAACATCTGTCCAAAACTTCCTTGGACACTTTGTTTAAAAAAGCAGACAAGACTCCAGAAAAACCTGCAGCCATGACTCCTGAGAAGACTCCAGCCAACAGCCCTTCAACCATTCCAGCAAAGTCACCTCAAAAACGTCCTTTCAAATCAATGATTGCTATTTACAATATAAATACATTAATGTAGCTATATTACTCATCTATAATTGATCGAGTACAAAATTTTGGGTTATTTCTGGTGAAAATAGGGTATCAGGGCTTGGTTCAGGAACCAATCCCCTATTTATAACATTGTTCCTTTGGGAAAATCAGTTCCGAGTTATGACGTTTCAACTTAAGGCACAGTTTTCAGGAACCAATTGTGTCATAAGTCTGAGGACCGCCTGTATTCAGAAGGCCTTATTACATTTACTGGCTTGGGAGGCAGTATAAGTAATACATTATCATTTTTTCCCTGACATAGTTAAAAAAGTTGCTCGACTAGCTACACTGGGGTTTTGGGGGACAGGGGAGGCACAGGGGGAGGTTTTGAATTTGTTTGTTTTGAAAAGCTTGTTGAGGGAAAACAAAGCCAAAAAGAAGAGTTTCATAACTCTGTCTGAGCAATTTCAGTTCTTTTGTATGTTCAGTCTCTAATACTTGCAAGCTTCTCTCTACTGCTTGACAATTTTATACACAAGATGGAACTTAATCATGGGAAGTCATAGCTAAAGGCATTCTCTTTGACAGATAATTCCTGTCCCAATAAAGAGAACATAGTTATAAAACTGTACTCTATGCAATGGTGAGCTAGTAGAAAGAGAAAACAGCCTCAAGATGATGTGCTTGCGGTGATGCACCTTCTGTAGTGATACTGCATTTTGTGTAGATTAAATTATTGCAGATGTGAAACATCACAGCTAGATACAAGTTGTAATAATAAAGTGTGACAGTTGCGTATGTCAACCACTGCTGCCAGATCTCAGTCCAAAAGAAGTATGTACAATCCTCTGACTAGTCACAGATAGAAGAAGGCATGTTCCATCTCCCTCCCCCTACCTTAAGTAGTGAAGGGTCCAAAAAGATTATAGATCAATTTAATATAATGGAAGAAGTTAAAGATGATAAGCTCTTCCAAGTATTTCCAGGTCTTTCTACTAGCACCATATCAGCCTTGCTTAGGTTCACTTTCAGATAGCAGTTGTTCAATGCCTCAATAAAGTTAGCAGCTGAATGAAGATATTATCCAAAGCTCACTATATTCACTCAAAAATATTCCACGAGCTATGAGGAAACAGGGAAATTACATCTGTATTTAATCATCTGTGGCCCACAAACTTCAGCCTCTATTAGGTTTTTTCAATAGCTTTATGTTGTGGATAACATAGGGGGAGAGGAACACGCATTACAGGACATCATGCATGCTGGCTTTAGAAAGGGAAGGACAGGCTTGTAACAACCATCAATTTTCAGAATAAGGAGGATCTGAGCTCTTTCAAACTGCATTCATTCTTTCCTAAAATCTCTTGAAAAATAGACAGGAGCATATTGTGAACAATAGAACAAGGTTACAGAGAGCAAACAGGAAGAGATTTTTCATTAAAACATAAGCATTACATACATTTCATTTTAGCTGAAGTTCCTCCTTTATATGCCATATGCTCCATGGTGCAGTTTGCTATCAGGGCTACAGTTTCACTTCATCAGTTTATATCTCTTCCCCACCCCTTTTTGGGGAGAAGAGATGTGACTCACTTTAAAGCTTAATTTGTTTAAGTGAAAGCTTATATTCCAGGAAGGTACTGACTTTCTGAACCTCCTAACCACCCTGATCTGTTTTATAAACATCAGTCCCACCCCCCGCCAAATTACTTGTTTTTACATAAAAAACAAAAAGAATTTCCCTTCCATTTACATACCTCACTGGAATCCACAATCCTGACAATAGGATCAGCCAAAAGATTCTCACAACTGGCCAGTGGTTCAGATTTAAAAGACCTGGTTCTCTTCCTTCTTTGTGATTTTGCCTTCGAAAATAGAAATATATCAACAAAACTTTTGTACTATTAGCCTCAATTTTGTCCTGGAAGAAGGGCCTACTGTATTTTTTCTCACACAGCACACACCCAAATTTAATACATACCTTTTCTTTTGAAAGGCAGAAGAATGAACAAGAGATTTTTTTTTAGTTACGGATGCAAAAGCAGAGACAAAGCCTGATTTTCAGACGACTGTTTCCCTGTTACCTTCATGACAAAAGTTAAATCCCTAGCTATAAGACCCATGGGTGGATCTATGATTTAGAAAAGAACTAAAGAGTATGAGCACAGAAGAGGTTATGAAACAGACCAGAAGCAGTTAGCAGAGAACAACATCGCCCTAAGAAAACAGTTAGATTAGTGGAACATCAAGACCATTTAAAGGAGGCAGGACTGTTAACACCTGTAGAGAGGAAGAACAAGGAGTCATTAAGCTGACTGACTCCTTCAGCTTCTTGAATAGTAATACCACAGCTGTTGCACTATGGAGCAGGAATCAAATTAAGGTACTTCTAACTAAGGGCATAAAATCTGCTTCTGCATTTAATACACACACCTCCATTTTGATAGCCTGATGGTGGGGGAGCAGAGGGGGGGTGGGTGG